AGCTTTTGTGCCATCTTTATAGAGAAACACACAATCAATGTAATTACTTAAATAGACTAATTCCTATGTTTGCCTTTATTAGATTAGGAGTGGGCAGATGACACTAAGTAAAATATTCAGTTTTTCTGCAGTGAGGACACAGCCTTTGGGGTGTGGAGGTGCAGTACATGCTCGCCTGGCATCTACTTTTACATATAAATTTCTTTCCTTTTGCTCATTCAACTTTTAAAAGCCAAAAACAGGAATCCACAATTCTCATTATTTATGCAACATATATCTGCATCTACTACCTTCTAAAATATAATAAGAAATCACACTCTTGCTCCCCCAATATGCCGCCATTGGTCTTGATTTGTGTTTGTCAGACTTACTGGTGAACATGAGGCTAAAGAAGTGGCTGGCAGCAGCAAGCACCACTCGGTGGGCTGGGAAGTGCTTTCCCTGAACCACCAGGGTCACATCACAGAGAGTACCCTGCAAATCACACGCAGTAATCAGGTGTCAGAACAGAGGAAATGCCTAATGTAAAGCCCTCTTAAAGATATTCAGCCTGGTACTTTTGGTTCGTGTTCCCTCTCTCTCTCCCGCACACACACTCACACCTGTTTTCTCAAATTGTTCATGACTCCCATGATGCTGGACAGTTGCCTGTACTCCTCTTTGGTGGCACACTTTCTCTCGCCCTTCTTTTTTGAGCTTGACGCCTTCTCTGGAGAAGCCATCCCCGTCATGTCAGTCTGACTACTTGACGGAAAACGAAGGAAAAAATGAAGGATTTTGGCACCAACGCTAACAGTATGACTACAGCGTACAGCTGTAGTCTCTTTGTTGTCGCTTAGCTACAGGCAGTTTGCCTGCAAACCCCGACAGCAGCTTGTTGTGAATGTATGAATTTAAAGGCCGACAACTTCACGGCGGCTTCTACATATGGATAAATTAATTTGTCTGCCAGGGGTTAAAAAACAAAACAAATAAGCACAACGTGTTAGCTTAATTGTTCATTCGTGTAGCTAGAACTCAATTTTTTTCTGGTTGTTGTGATGCTCTTCTTCTGCTTCTTCTTTTTCCGTCTTTTTCGCCTTCTTCTGTGGTCTGCACAGAATGTCGTAATGCTGCCCCCTGTAGCCTGGACATAAATTGTATTACAACTCTGAGACCAAGAAGAGTTGTGAAATAAGCCCAGCAGTTCCCTTTGGTTTTCATAAACAGCAGGTGTGAATAAAACATAAAAGTTTCTCTATAGCTCTATAGTACAGTTGGGATACAGCTAATTTCACCTGGATGAATAATATGTCAGTGTCTCCGAGTGACTGTAGAAAAGGCTGTTTCTTACAGTCATCGGTGTCTCCAGAATAGGTGGGACGATATATATAGGTTATAATAGGTTGTGGACTAATTATAATATAGGGGTTTTTTTTCTTTTTAGTCAGGGTGTTTGTTTACTGCACTAGTTATTGCTCTGGTTGGACTTTAGCTGTATATTAACTGTATATTTCTGCGAACTCTGTTATTCAGAACAAAACTGTAGTTTTATATCCTATCGGACAGGCATATCAAAGCTGCTTCAGCTTTGCGGCATGCAAAGCGCCGCAAAGCGCATGCGCTGTAGTAGCTCACCTGTCGTTGCACCTGTTGAATTCTTATCTGTACAACAATGTAAAATACAAAACCAGGAAGCTTTTCTTTCCTCGACTCTCATGACGCTGACGTCACGGAGAATGCGGACTACAATTGCCTTGTTAGAAATAAGTGACCTGAAAACAAACTGAGAGGCCACAGAGCCGCAGAAAATGTTCCGTTTATGCTGTTGCTGCTTCTCTGGCGATAACTCCAACAACAATGAGGTATGTGTTTATGCGCTGCACTGGGTTTTATGGTGTCTTTATAAGAGCGTAAAGTGGCTTCCTTAGAGTTTAGCAAGGAAACTATACAGCTTCGCTTCGCTTGATTTTTCCATTGCAAGTAAAATGATGGGATCCTCTTAACTGCTGTAATGTAGCATTACTGGGTCTTCACCTAATAATCTACTTTTGTTGGGGATTTGAAACATAATTATTATAATATTGAAGCTGAGTTTATGATCATATCGTTGCACTGGTACACGTGATCAAATATGCCTAATATTTGTGGCACAAGAAGAAGAAAAGAAAAACACTATGTAAATAAAACCAACTTTCGCTGTTTCAGAGACGGCCTCTCCTGGATTCCCGACGCTCTGAAGTCAATAGTGCTGAATCCGCCAGGCTGAGCCGTTCATCAGCGGACAGCGGCAAGTCATCTCAGTCTTTTTTTTAATACTTATAAAAATGACAGATGAATTTGATCCACCTGTTTTTCTTGCTGTGTTACTCGTGCTTTCTTTTTTCTTTTTTTCTACTCAGATGCACAGACTGTGAGACGGATTGGACGGCTGGTGATGAGGCGAGTGTGCGTGCCTGAGCTGGATCAGAGGTTTTTGGAGATGGCTGAGACCTTCAACAAGCAGCAGGAAGGCTACGAGGCCATGGTGCAGCATATAAGAAACCTCCAGCAGAGCTGTGACTGTTCCCATGATGACACCCTTGCTTTTGTTCAGTGTTTGGGGAAGATTAGAGAGGAGCAGGGTGAGTGACACATACTTTTTAACACACGTTTCATGGTAGCTGATGCCTCACTCCCTCCCCCATTTTTTAAAAACTCATGTACTTCCAGAACCAACATACCAGGTCTCTCTTAAGATGAAGGGCTACGATTTCTTCCTCAGTGCGGTTCCTGTGTGGTCTGAGGGCGCAGGTGAGGGGAAACCGCTTCCTCCACATCTGCAGAGGGCTCAGAACGAACTGAAGGGTGCTTCTGACAGCACCAGGATGACCATTTCAAAGGGGACCACCCTTCAAGAGCTTATCGGCTGGTTGCTCCGTAGCCATGATAAAATGGCTGAGCAAGTGAAGAAGGCAGCAGAAACTTACCAAGAACAAGGGAGACTTAGTGAGAACCTGGAGGAGAACATGAGGGAAGTGAGGAGGGCCAAAGAGTTGTCTCAAGGATACAGACAACAGGCCACGGCAGTTCTCACTGAGGCTGCACAGATAGCAGGGGCTCAACTGTAGTGCACATATCTTTCTAAAAGTTTTGTTTTAACCGACAACAATGCGGAAGTACAGCATTTCCATGGGTTATCTCCATAAATATCCCCACCAATCGTATCAAGACTGTCATATCTCCTTTTATTATTTGATTATAATAGAAACGTATTCTAACACTTTAAATAGGTTTAAAGTGTTTTTTTATTTTGCGTCATTACATTCTGTCATATGTATTGTTAGAGTGGTAGATGCTCATACTTAACCTAGCTTAAGGTTCTAATAATGAACTCTCGATGTGTGTAACTGTGTAAAAGCCAAAAGCTCAAGCTTCAAACTGTGTTAAATATTCCATTTTAGAATTTTTTTCTTCTTCTAGATTTAGCTTTGATGATGTTCTTCAATGTAAATTGTGAAGACTTTGAATATATCTGTGTATCTACAGTGCATAATGCCATCAAAGGTTTCAGAGAATCTGGACAAATCTCTGTGCACAAGAGACAAGGCTGAAAATCTGAATGCATGGGATTAAACGCACAGTCCTGTCATGGAAATCACTACATGGGCTCATGAAACACTTCTAGAAATTATTGTCTGTAAACATGCATTGCCATGTCATTCACAAATTTAAGTTAAAGGCGTATCATGCAAAGAAGAAGCCATATGTAAACATGATCAAAAAACCCTGCTGTCTTCCCTGAGGCACTTAACCTGGACTGAGGCAATGTGGTCAGACAAATCAAATCAAAAACAGGAAAGCTCCATCCTCTGGACTAAAGAGACAATTGTTACCAGTGCTCAGTTCAAAAGTCTGCATCTCTGGTGGTATGAGGCTGTATGAGTGCTGTGGAATTGGCAACTTGTGCAGTTGAAAATGAGCACTGCAGGTCCCCTTCTTTCTCGAATACATGTAATTTCACTAGCCAACATTAGGGGGCAATGCCGCTTCACTTTTATCTAACAACCGCTCATCGTTTCATCCTCATCAGACTTTTAGAAATAGCACCGCAATGACAAAGCTTGTCTGAACTCCAGAATTAAATTTATAAACGTGCCACTACTTTGTGTGTGTGTGTGACTTTTACCAGAATAGGTTCACTGATTTCTGCGAAGCTTTCCCACAACTCTGCCTGGACTCTGCTTTAACAGATTGCGAACTTCGTGGCTGGTATGTTTCCCAGACATGACAGAGCTGACATGATATGATATGAAAGCTCACTGCAACAGCAGCTGAAAACTAAACTGGAGGTTTGTCGTGATTGTGCGTGGGATGTTTTACTGTTTCAATATACAGACTTCTATTAACTGATTAAAAACCGCAGCTTTCCCACTGTTATTAACCTAAAAGCCCACCAACACATGGTCATATGCCATGTTGATAATTAATTTCCAAAAATCCATTGTTCTAAAGGCTATTGTCACATGGTCATTTATTGTTTACCAGAGAGGGACAGTTTTGGAGCAGTGTTTCTGTCTTTGGCTTTGGATTAATTAGGTGTAAAGTGTGATGTAAAAGAGAAGCAACACCAACACTTCCTTTTTTATGAAAATACTCGGCAAATAAAAAGAACGAGGATCAAATAGAGGAAAATCTTGAATATAGGCCGTGGACCCAATTTTAGTGAAATATAATGGTTAAAAATGGTAACTGGATATTTTTATAGTTTACTCATTAACATTCATATATTTAGTAAATAATCAAAATCGATAATTAATATCCTGCAAACTGTATGTTTTCTTATACATACAAATCTTCATTAATAGCAGATTTGACAAATCACTTGGCTGTCAGAGAGCGGCGACTGACTGGGACAACCTACCGTGATCCTGGAAATTATTAACTTGCGGTCCTCGTGTCTAATTTGATTGGATGGTTTAGTTGGGCGTGCGGCAATTGGATTATATACTTCTCTCTTATTGGCTGAGAAGCCTGGCATTCAGTGTAGAGCGCGTCCTCTTCTCTAAAAGGTAGTCTGAGTGGAGAAAGTAATGAAGATGGAAGGAGGTGATGTTGTTGAATTATTGAGGAGATTTATGGAGTAGCGAAGTGATAGCCGTTTACTCGTCCTAGCGGAACGACGGAGGACGGTGATAGCAGGAAGCTGACAGATAGCATGCCAGTAAGTAAACAGCAACTTCCTCAGTTTGCCTAGAGTCGCCCCTTAGCTGAGCCAGCTAACTAGCTAATCTGTAAGCAACCGTAGTGACAGCTCGAAGTCATTCAGCAAGGCGATATAGAGAGAGTGTGACGGCTCGGGATTAATTTTAGGTCTCTGGCTCATACGGGCTAAAAAATGCTCTGAAGTGAGCGGCGGGAGAAAGCTAATGTAATTTTTCCATTGAGCTAACAGTTCACCGGGACAGAAATTCTCGGGGTTTTTTTTTGTTTTGTTTTTTTAAAAAAGAAGGTGTATAACCAGTATTGAGGGTGTGAGACTAGCTGGTTAGCAGCGCCCAGGAACAGGTAGGATCCTACTTAAATCAACTAAATAATATGATATGACACAGCAGGCGGGGGGGCTTTCCAACTTATCATAGTAACGACATATTCTTTGCTACCATTTTGCTTCTGTCCCATCAGTCGTGGAGGCAGACTTTGTACCTGTCTTTATCCTGTTTGGTAACAGCTGTGTGCAGGTGTGTGCACTTGTTATTCCTCAGGTGATTTGTGTTCGTGACAGGGGAAGAGAAACCACCACAGACGGGCATATTGGATAATGCGTTGTTGGGATTTTTCTAATAGCTGTCATGTGATGCAGCTTTTCTCCACACCACTCATCCTGTTCTGGGGCTTCCTGTATAGGGGGGGGGCTGGTGTGAAGCCACAGAGCCTTGCGAGTACGTGCTCTCAGAAGTTTAAAGCTGCTCGTTTTACTTCTCTGTGACCTTCGCAAAAAAGGCTTCTGCTGTTGTGGCAGTTTTTTGTTTTAGCGTTTAATTCGTTGTTGTCCTTTGCTTACCATATGTGTGTGTGTGTGTGTTTACCTTTGACCTTAGGCGGAGGCTGTGCCTAGGGTTTGTTGGTTGGGTGCCGTGTGTGTGTGTGTGTGTGTGTGTGTGTGTGCGCGCGCAGACACAAGTTTAGGCTTGTTGATGTGTGGCACCCATGGCTGCAAGTGTCTTAGGGCTCTTAATGCTTTTTGACAATGAAGCACAGCAGGTCATGGAGCAGAAAGATCGTGCAGGCTCTGCTGTCATCTGGCATCATGGACAGTCGTTTGTGCCAGAGGGCTCATGAAATTTCCTGGCAATTTGAGCGGTGAAAACTGTTGCAGTCTCTTCCATTTTTTTTATTCTGTGTCTTTTGCACACACAGGCATGGCATGGGTTAAGCTGTATTTTGTACTTATAAATGCCATTATATGTAGCACTTTAACTCTACAAGAAACCTTGAAAATCAAGCTAATTGTATGCAGGAGGCTACAAGTGAGTTGCCTAACTGTAACAGGATGAGCTGAAACAAAGCATGTGGTGGGGAAAGAAAAGGAAGTGTTAAAAATGGAAGGAAAAACAAAACCCTTATTTTAATCACTTGCTGCGGGAGGATGGAGAATTTGAGGGGCAAGATGAGGGATACATCACTAGCTTAGAGGCAAGAGAGGAGAGCGTAGGCTGCTATAAGAGGATTCCTCGCTGTTGGGTCTCTCTCTCTGTCTCCCTCAGCAGTGAAAACCACACACAAACCACACACTCTGTTGTCATTTCTACTTAGCTACCGGCAGTCCTCAGCTATATGTTTGCACGGATGAAAGAAAATAGAAGCAGAAAAACAGACCTCCGCCTATCCCCTTTCCCCCAAAGCTACACGAAACCTCCTATTGAAGAAGACTTTAGGGGGAGAGCAAGGTGGGAGTCAGTGATGCAACAGAGTTAAGGTAGTCCAAATAAAGAAGATGCCAACAGACAGTGTAAAAGAGAAGTGATATAAACTGAAGAGAGATGTCAAAATAAAATGTTAAAGTCTTCTGAATGGTGTAAATTACTCTTAGCGGGAGGTGGGGTCAAACTGTGAGCTCTGGGCATGATGGAGGCTCTTTCCTGTCTTCCCCTTTTTTTTGACCACAGTTGCACAACCCTGCCTTTAACTTTGCTTTTACAAACCACAGTGTAGATTACAGTAGTTCCTTAATAACTTCTGTTTCTGTTCAGGTTAAACAGTCTTGTTTTTTAGTTCCTCTTTTTGATACTAGTTGCTTAGTATAACAGTTAAAGTGTATCTGAAGTCAGGTGTGGGTAATTTGCTACTGTAGGTTTTATTTTACTTTATTACATTCATTTTTATAGTTGTCTTTCATTCCTTTAGCTTTTCTTCCTTGGTGTAGCAGTGTAAGTAGGATTCTCATTGTTTTGCTAAGCAGCAGTTTCTGTAACTAAACCCTGTACCACAGGAAAAAGCAGCTGGGGCAGCTCAGTCACTCTTAAAACCACCCGCTTCGTCATTCTCTTTTCTTCTCCCTTCCATTTAAACGTCCACTCCCATTGGCCTAAACAACTTCCTCCAAAAAAAAAAAAAAGGAGGTTCCGATTCCGAAGTATGTGTGTAATGGGAAATGATGTAATCAACAGGCAGATATGTATACACGTGTGTGGGTGTCAGCCTAATTCATTCTTACAGTTGGACATGCTTCATCTCTCTCACTCTCTCTGCTCCAGCTCTCCCAGACAGGGGGGGGGGGGTGTGTGTGTGTGTGTGTGTGTGTGTGTGTGTGTGTGTGTGTGTGTGTGTGTGTGTGTGTGTGTGTGTGTGTGTGTGTGTGTTCTCGTTCCTTTTCTTTTAAATGTGGCTTTTGTATGAAACCATGTGAAGGAAATACTGGGCTATTGTAGGTCTGCCTCAGGTGTTGTGCATCAACGCTGTAAGATCATCAAGCTCACAGCAAGGATTAGAAATGTAAACTCAAAGCCTTTGTTTTGAAAGAAGTCCTTGGAAGGAGGAGTCACAAATAAGCTCATTTAGACTGGCAGCCCAGTGTGTGTGTGTTTGTTAGTTCAAGACAGTAGTGTAGGTGTAAAAATCACAGGGAATGAGCTGTCAACTTCTGCTAGCTCACAGGAACAGGTTTTGTCAAACCAGACTTTGAATAAACACATTTGCACAGGCACACTTGTACAATCCATGACACATCCTCTGCTGCTTTCTGCCATGTAGCTGGCTCTGTCAGCTTTTTGCATTTCTATGGTTAAACTACTTAACATGTAGGATATTCCTTGAGCTCGTCTAGGTCACAGGGACGTAGCTGTGTATGTATGTGTGACAGTATCCTTATCTCATGTGTTTCTCAGAGGCTGAGAGGTTGCCAGGGGCAACAAACATCGACCCCTGATGAAATCTCTGCTTTTATAACCCCCACCAAGGAAGTTTGGCAGTTGGCATGACTCAGTAAAATCTAGCTGTTTCTTATGAAGCTTAGTGAGAAAACTTTCACTGGGTATATTATTTTTAGTTAGTCAGTTTGCAAATAATCCATTGCTGTGCCTCCACATTTCCATGTGAGAAAGTATTGTAATGTTGTAATGAGCATTGTTGTCACAGAGTAATATTTTAAATTACTAATGTTAGATCAGAGGTGTCTGCTCTCTGAATGTGCTTCTAGTGTACCCTGGTGTCGCACTTGTCTTGAGTTATCCACCCCTTGAGATTTCTTTCATACCGAATCACAGATATCACTATCCCGCTTTTAATTTAGTCATTGATTTCTGCTCTATTTATCTTCCTGGACTGCCATCTGCAACTCTTCTCCCTTTATCTCACATCTACTTCTTTAGCACATCATCGATTTGTTGCTGTTGCTTGTCAAGCCTGCTCTGCCGCCTTATCTTTGACGCTGGTTTATTCATGTGTTTACTGGTCAGCGTGATTGAGTTGCACAGAGAAAACTCATCAGCTACTGCATCATTTTTGTTCAAGGGTGCTCCCTCCAGTTTGTATTGATTTCTGTCTTGATTAGGGAGCCTGTAATGACACAGAGACCACTAACAAGTTAGCCAGACCTAGATGGAAGGTAAACACCTGCTTAATGACATAATTATGCTCAATAGTGTACTCCCAAGACAATTACGTTTCTATTTTCCTCCACCAGATGATTGAGTCTGCCTGCAGTTTGTCAATAGAGGCTAGAAGTCTTTGAAACAGGTTATTATTTGCTGTGTGCATCTCTGTCTCTTGTGGTTTTAACGTAGTTTCAGATTGAGTTATCATTATATCTGTGCGTGTGCGTCGCTATAGCATAATATTATATGTTGCTTTGCAATATTATATCGATAAAGGGACATCAAATATCAATATTTTATAAAATAAATAAAATTACTCTAAAAATACCCATCTCATGCCAACCATCCTGAGATAACATTAGCCAAGCAAAGTTGCATTAAGTCAGCTCAGCTGAAAAGCCAACACACTTAACTTGACAAAGCTACCTCCTAATTCAGAGCAAGGTAATAGCTCAGTCACATGAGCAAAAGATAAGATGGCAACCTCTTTGCATCTAGAAAAACAATCTTGTCTTTGTTTTTGTTTTTCCCTATATTCTCCGACCTGTTGCAGTTTGTGTTAAGTAAACGGTTACCCAGAGCTTATGAGCGTTTCACATCCACTACCACTTATGATCGCAAGTAGGGCAGGGCAATATGGCCAAAAATATTTATCACTATATATATTTGAAAATTTGCGATAATGATATAATTGATGAAAGACAAAATACTTTACAACTCCACAACTTTATTAGTGCAAAAAAACCCCCATTAATTTATTTTCACTTAAACAAGCAGCTGTTTTTATGTGCATTAAAGCTGTATAAAAATGTAACGGTACAAATGCAAATTCCTTGCTGACAGTTTAACCAAAAGGCATTTCCAGTGGAAATGGGCTGACATATCCTGAGCATAACCATGTATAATATCCACAAAAGTTAAAAAGAGGTGCTTTGCAACATGAAATTCCACAGTGCCAAATAAATAAGTCAAATACATATCTTTATAAGGTGCACGGGATTATAAGGCGCATTAAGCAAAATAAAGCAGTCAGATAAGTCTACCTTTACTCAACTCATTCTTCTTGCTTCCTCCACTTCTGTACCATTGACTCATTAATGCTGAATTCTCTCACAGCTGCTCTCTTCCC